CTGCTTTCGCGCATGCGTACATAGAGATTCAAAAAAAATTATGTCTGCATTTAACCCATCCCCTTGGGGAGCAGTGGGCTATTGTGCGGCGCCCGGGAAGCAGTGTGGGGTTAAGGGTCTTGCTCAGGGACCCAGAGTGGCCGTCTGAGGGAGTGGGGGATTGAACTCCCAATCTCAGGATTCAAAGCCCTATACCCTAACCACTAGGCCGCCACTTCCCTATATATGGATTTTAGGTGTAAACCATGTTGCAGTGTTGGATAAGGAAGTGGAGAACACCTTCCCTTAAGGAAAACAGTTACGATTTAAATTAAAGCCATCATTGTAAATACACAGGGTTCGGCGAGAGAAGTGTCAGGAATCTGGAAGTTGTCGCTATTGGACCAGTAGGTATCCATGATAATTAGTGTTGCACAGATACCAGTATTGGGCGGGGCCCTGATACTGCACTAAAATGGTGGTATCGGTATCAGCGAATACCAACAAATAGAGCACCAATACCATTTTGAGAGCCAAAAGTTTATTCAACTATTGTCACCCATTCCAGTTAGGCAATAAAAAGTTCTAATGGATTCAGTTTGTATTAGTCTTTTTGTTTCCTGTTTCACAAAGGTAGGCAGCAGCTTGACAAAGCCATGATGGCAATTATTTTACATCCAAGTAGTGTGTTTCATATATATATATACACACACACATCAATTTCAAACAGATAGTATCAGTATGGTATCGATATCGGCCAATACTGCACAGCCAGGTATCGGATATCAGTATCGGGGCCAAAAAATGGCATTGGCGCAACACTAATGATAATGTCCTTGCTGTTCAGGAACGAAATATAAGAAAGAGCCTTTGTGTAGAGAGAGGACGAGAGCAATGCCTTAAATACACAAATGATCAGCAATGGCAAGTTCATTAGCAGTGCAGTGGGAGGGAGCTAGATCAGAGGAGCTGATTAGGTTCAAAGCTTGGAAGTCAGTCATATAATGGATTCTAAAACTCACTGGGATGATGATTGCTGGATGATATTGACATAAATATGGACAAATTAATCCCAGTATCATCCAACAATACTGTGTTGGTGAAAGAGGGGATAAGTGATTCGATTTTCTTCTAATTTAAGAAGTCTTTTTGTGGCTTAGGTGGGTAGTACCCAAATACATAATTGTATTGGGAAATCAAAGGGGAAATCAATCTAAAAAAACTCTGAGAAGTTATTGTTGCACATAATCACTAGGAGCCTCTTTCCACTTGCTTGCACACTCAGAGAGTTGGAAATGTATTAGTCAAAAACCGACAGCTGTAAAATGTCTCTCCTCATAGTTTTACTTGAACTTTCCCAGACTACCTTCCCCTGAAGCCCAACTAAACCACACTCCAACACACGTCATTGCAATGTATGTCTCATATCTGTAGGTTGAGGAGGTAAGTGGAATACAGTTAATCATCATCTTGTACAACTACATTATGGACTTCTGTAACCGAAAAAAAAAAAAAAATTCTCTGCAAAAACAAAGCTAGTTTTTGTTTTCAGATTTCGTAACAACCTTGCATGGGCACTACTATACTTTTTATGAATTTTAAATTGTTTTATTTGACAATTTTAGTTGCGGGAATATGTGACCATCATAGAGTCCAACAAAATATATGCCTAATAAATAATTAAAAGAAAGTACAGTTTTTACAGTTTTAACAAATTGTTAGAATTATCTAAATATGCTTTAGGGTGTATACAACACCATGCCATGTATTTCAAAATTTCTATATTTGTCAAGGGAATAATATTTTGATGTTAACTTAGGAAGAAACCACATATTTGAGCAGTGCACATAATTTATGTTGACACTGTATGTTTTAATTTCACCTTGATTGTGCTATTAAAATAATAGCGTTTCTAGAGCTGTGTGTTACTATATGTACTGTATGTCAAATATAGAGACAAGACTTGTTTATAGGTCAATACGATGTTTCCAAGTAAAAAGACCCATTATGAAGAAAAGCAGAGAAAAGCCAGCTGAAAAGAACTCCAGGCATTATCTGTTTTTTTTTTATAATAAGAAATAATGGATTATGTAAAGCAAAATATAAGGAAATGAGAAGAAGCTTGTGATCTGAGTACATTACAATATCTTGTGATGCATCACAGTAAAGCATTTTAAGAGCTGTGTGTTTGAAATACCCTTGGGCAGCATAATGATCCTACATTAAAAACTCTTGTCTGTAGTTCTGCTTACTCATACATTTGTGTTTTTTTTATGTACCTATTAAATACCAGAAAAAAATTGTTATTGAGTTAGAGAAGGGGATTTGTACTCTGATGCAGCTTCAAATATAGTTTGCTTTTTACCTCAAAGTTTAGATTTTATTACAAAGTTAAAAAGAGTGGTTTAATAAGTCAGAGCTGGAATCTTACTCGGGATAACTGGATGTTAAGCTCAGAAATAAAACTTATTAGGAAAATTTTATTAGTAAAGCATGTTCAAAGTTAAAGGGTAAGGGAAGATTAAATCAGAGTACTTAAGAGATTAAAGGAACACAGTAAAACGGCCATTGTTGCTCTCTGTTCTGTCATTCTCTCCTTGTTAACTTAGTTTACCAGTGATCCTTGTGCACTCATAGTTGGGGTCATGAGATCCTTACAGATCTTATTCCTTGAGTTGGAAACTGAAAAGTTTGGGAGTTACTGGTTTGAAGCATGTAGAAATTGTAACATAGTTTTAAAATAGGAATACCGGGCCACATGCAAGACTATATTAACAATTTCCTTTAACTGCATTGCATTTTATAAGGAACATGTTGGAATACAGTTTTTTATCTCAAGTTAGAAATATCCAGTGGAAAATCACATAGAAAAACGTTCCATTATAGTTTATGGTTAGTCCAGATTAGTGAGAGTTTCCCAGCTCTGATCTCAGGGATACATTATCCAAATTAATTAGTTATAATCTCACTTTAACACACATGATCTTAATTGTTTGGTAACTACAGAGAGATAAAGACATTAGCCAAAAAGGTGCTTCTTTTCTATAAGGGTAAGTGGGTAGCAACAGTGATACTAATACTGATCCTCAGACTGGATCCAAATAAAATTGCCCTAAATGATGAAACTCAAAGAGTAGTGGGAAGAGTAGATGATAAAGAGAGGGGAAAACAAGTAGTTATCCCAACTGATTTATTTGGCGCAATATAAAACAATATCACCATTGTCGTAAGATTTTCTATTATGCAGGCCTGGATATTTAGATTATAACAAAGTGTGTCATTGCTTTTGGCACCAGAAGCATAAGATATGCTGTAATATGTTGTATTGCAGTGAAGACTTCATTTCGACAAACACAAACTCTGTGCAAAAACTAGGGAAAATGAATCATGTCCAAAGTGAACCTTTTGATAGTGAAAGCAATACTTATGCATTTAATAAAAGAAAACTGACATTTTCACTCATTTAGATATTTTGAAACAGAGAAGTACAATTAAACAAATTGTTTAGGTCCACTACTACAAATTTTTGATACCCCTGGTAAATTCAAGATTTTAAGGGATCTTTCGGTTGATGTTGATGTTTAGTCTGATGTTGCTACTATTTTCAAATATCCATTA